GCCCGAGCCCGAGCCCGAGCCCGAGCCCGAGCCCGAGCCGAGCCGAGCCTCGCCTCGCCTCGCCTCGCCTCCCATGCGCCTGCCGAGCATGTCGCAGCCCTTCCTGCTGGCCCCCATCGCCGAGTGCGCCCCGGGGCCGCCGGGCGCCCAGGTCCGACTGGCGGTGATGGGCGCCCGCGGCGTCGGCAAGAGCGGTGAGTGGGGCTTGGGGGGGCGCGGGGGTGTCTGTCTGTCCCTCCTTGCCCCTGTCCGTCCCCCTTTGCCCCTGTCCGTCCCGCCCTAACGCGGCCCCTCTGTGTTTTCAGCGATGATCGTGCGGTTCTTGACGAAGCGGTTCATTGGGGACTACGAGCCCAACACAGGTGAGGCGGCGGGGAGCGGCGGGGAACCCCCCCCCGGGGCCGCCGCTTGGTGCCTGACGGCTCTCTGCCTCCCCAGGTAACCTCTACTCCCGGCTGGTCTGTCTGGAGGGGGACCACGTTGCCGTGCAGATCCAAGACACGCCAGGGAGCGTCCAGGTACGGAGACACTTCGGTTCTTCCCAGGTTTTGAGCCCCAGGCTCCTCCAAGTCTGGGCTTAGTCTCCCAAGACAGCGCTCGGGCTTCCCTTTGGACCTGTTTAACGGTGCTGTCTGTGATACAGGCTTCGTACTTTCATTACCCGATGCCCAATTTGTGCTCCCTGTCGTCCCGCAGGTGCAGGAGGACTGCGTGCAGGTGCTGGACTCCCTGTCCCGCTGCGTGAAGTGGGCAGAGGGCTTCCTCCTGGTCTACTCCATCACGGACTACAGCAGCTACCAGTCAGTCCGACCTCTCTACCAGCACGTACGCAAGGTCCACCCAGATGCCAGGACTCCCGTCATTATCGTGGGGAACAAAGCGGACCTCCTCCACGCCAGGCAAGTACAGGCGAAAGAGGGACTACAGCTGGCAAACGAACTGGGCAGCCTGTTCTTGGAAATCTCCACGAGCGATGACTCCCAAGGCGTCTGCGATGTTTTCCAGTATCTTTGCAAGGAGGTCAGCAAACTACAGCACGCCGGCAGCACGGACAGGAGGCGGTCGTCCATCATCCCTCGGCCCAAGTCTCCCAACATGCAAGATCTAAAGAGACGTTTCAAACAGGCTTTATCTTCGAAAGTCAAATAAACCCCCCCGATGAGATCCTGTGTGACTCCATAGACTTTATTTTTGTAAACTAGTTAATGAAAATCTTTATTTTTGTACTAATGCCAGCAGTATGGAAGTATGTTGAAGCTTGCAATTTCCTTGCCACTCCCTCTTGTTTGACTGCTTGGGTTATTTTTACAAAAAAAAAAAAATGCTGCATAGCAACTAAATAGAGGTAGTTGGAGAAGGGGGTTTTTGCCAGGAGGTTTTGATTCCATTTCTGTTTTGGGCTGGGATTTGCTGGTTTACTCTGCTCAGATGACTTTCTTGGGCCTCAGTTTCCTGCTTGTAAAATGGGAATGATGATGATGTAACATTATAAAATGCTTGGAAAGCCTTTGATGGAAAGCTTTATATGGAGAGAAAAAAAAGAAAAAAGCTTTATTAGCCTGTAAGAATTCTGATTGTAACAGGATCTCTGTTTTCCCTCAACAACTGCTGTTTTACTTGCACCTGTAATCACCTGAATGATGATAAGCTGTTAGGAATGAGTTCCAATTTCTGATGTGCTGTAGAGATCTATCCCACAGAATTAATCTTTTGAGCCGAAAGCATTTGACAGGAGGGTTGAGTTTCTCCTACAGATTACTGTAATGCTGAGCAATCCGCAGCAGGGGAGTGTGTAGGATGGCTGTTGCTTTCTCTGGAGATGTGTGATAGGAAGGACTGATGCGTAGGTTCCCTTAATAAAATAGCTACATTTAAAAGGAATCACATCTTTATCTTTCCCAGGGCAATTTTGTAGTCATTGGAAACAGGTCAGACTTCTTACTCTTATTTCACATAAGCTCTGTACCATACTAGAATGGTTTTTATTAACTGCTTACTGGATGTCTGAACATGGAATGTGGGGTTTGCACTTCAAATATGCCTCTGAAGTATGTGCATGGTATTGGTAAAAAATAAAGCTCTGCTCCATGCTGAGTAGAAGGTGTGGAAGTGGAGTAACCCGTACAGGGGGAAACTTGGTGTCCCCACTTAAGCACAACTCCAGTAAGATTTTCTTGTTGTTTTGTTTTTTTGTTTTGTTTTGTTTTGGTTTTTTCAATCTCATAGATTAACTCCAAAGACCGTTTTCTTCCTTCCTTTTGTTAGGAAAAGTGGGTAGCTGCTGTGTAAGTCCCTGTGCTGCAGGGACGCTGCTGTGCCTTGCAGTTAGCGGGCAGTCTCGGTTGTTTCTGACCCCTGGGACGTGAAGCTTTCTGGGACACCTCCACTCTTGATCTGCAGATGAAAGTCTTGCTGAAGGTGGTAATCGAGGGAGGGGTGACTGAGCAAGTTAAGGATGATGCTTAAGCATCAGAGCCCCGTGTTAGCACTGGGTAGGGGTGTGGGATGCCAGCAGCAGTATTCCCCATCCAGGCACATTATCTGTAGATCTCCTTTCTGAAGGCCCTGGCAAAGGGAATGGGAGAACTGAAGGGAGCCAGCTCCAGACCTGCAGGAACGGACTGAAACTGGGACTGCAAACTGGGTCCGAAACTCTTGAGTGAATTCATGGAAGTGCAAAAGCATGGTGCCAGCCTGGGCAAATCAAAGTACTGTTTAGAACACATTTTAAATATTTCTTTGCTCTGAGAGTTGCTCTGCCAGGCCCAGGACTCTGGGCTGGGGGCTCGAGGGGAGCAGGGGGACGGGGTGGATGAGAACGATCACATCCCTGGCAGACTCAAACTCACCACATGGGCCACACATTCATGGGGAAATTTGAAGGGCAGTTGAAAAATCACAAGTGGGGTATTTATGCAGCATTTCACCATCTTGAAATCAGGGATAACAAATTGTTTCCAAGAGAAATTACCGCTGTGATACAGTTTGGGTGGGTTTTTGGTTTTGGAAATGACGAAGCTTGATTTCCTACTCGCGTATCCAGTACAGAGTTTCACCAAGCAAGTTGCTAAAGGTATCCAGCTTATACATGAGCACAAAATATGCTAAGAGGGCAGGTAACATGTACTGGACCTGTCTGCGTCTCACCATGGTCCTCCAAGACGAGGTGAAGAAGAGCATTAGGCACCAACCTCCAGTGCCTCTCGCTGCCCCTGGCAAAGCAGGAGCTCGGGGCCCTGCTGTGGGACAGGGGGAGAATTTGGGCAGGAGCAGGAGGGTAAATACAGTCATTTGCCCCGTCTCTGCGATGGGGAGAACCTAAAGAGATGCCCCTCGTTACGTAGGCACCCACGTTCAGGTGGAGACCTCCCGTCCCCTCCCCACGCTTCCCATGCTGTTGGGCTGGTTCGGCCCTGTGTTGGGAGCAGGATGAGGCCCCTCGGGGATGTAATGGGGAATCTCGCTGGCTAAAGCATGCCCATGGCAGGGAGGGAGGGCTGCTCTGACCTGCCTCCAGTCTAAGGCAGCAGCTGAGCTGGGACATTCTGGATAACGCTTTTGGGTACAAGTACATAAATTAGGCATTTAAGCTGTTTGTCAGGATTTGCCCTGGCTGGCACAGATTTACTTTCCCCCAGAAGTTCTCAGCCTGGGCAACCCTGAGCTGACAGGCGAGGTGCAGGAGGAGCCCACTGGTTCCCAGCTCGTTTTGCCCCGGCGTTTTCTTCAGTCCTAGGCGAGCAGGCAAAGAGGGCCACAGTGGAGCAGGGAGGGAAAAGCATCTCTCAAGTGCTAGCAGAGGAGCTCCAAAGCCTTGTTTCTCTTGGGCCATGGCCACTCATGCCCTTCCTACAGAATATTTGCCATCACCAGTCTCTAAGCCCTTCACCCAGAGGCCAGGGCAGCTTCAGGAGGGTAAGTGGGGTGTAGCCTGGCCTTTCTCCTTGATCAGAAGAAAATATGCATCTGCCTCCTTCCTCCCACCACCTCCACTATCAAACAGAATCACAGCAATTTCCCCTGACAAGACGGATGAGTGGGTTTTCAGAAGCAGGGATGTGTGCGCCATCACGCCCTATTATGGCTGCTACTACATCAGCATCTCCCCCCTGTTGGGCTATTTTGTCTAGTTATCTCCCAGCACTGAAATCATCCAGTAATGCTTTAAGACTTCATGAATTTTAAAATAGCTGCTGCCATCAACCTGTTTGTTCCATGTGCTTCAGTTCAGGAGCCGCAGATCCCTAGACAGAGATAGGGATGTTTTCTTCAAAAGGCTTTATGGATGTCCCCTTGTTTTCTGCCCTGCTCAAGCAGCTGGGACCCGGGCTGCTTCCTCGCTGCCTCTTGCCAGGGCCTTGGCTATCAGCACACGGGATGGTCAGTGCCACAGGTCCATGCTGTATTTCTGTGCTTTGTTCGGATGAAGGACCATGGGCGAGACGGACCATGGACAAGAAGGACCACGTTCACATCATGGGCAAGAGCTGGGTTCCAGCTTCAGACAGGGAGCAAAAGCGGTCGAGGTTTGGATGGACGGACGACTGGAAATAAATCTGCATCCCATGCTTGGGTCTCCTAGAAAACAATTTTAGTCCTGGGGGACTTTCATAGCTTTTGGTGAAGCTGCTGTTTATTTAGGAAGGTCTGAATAGGTTCAGGATAAAGTCCTTTAGGGAAAGTTGACCTTTTGCGGCAATTGTTGCACTTGGCATGTCACTGCTGGTGATTCACACTGGTAAGACAGCACGGACTCTTCAGTTGCTCCTAAAGCCAGGATCCAAAGCCAGTTGTCCTTCTAGGAGCAATATCTCCTGGGATGATGCTGTCGCTGCGTCACTTCACTGAGGTACATGCAATCCTACAAAGAGCTGTCTTCCCGAGGTACCTTCAGAGTGACATCCCTGAAAAGCTTATTATGAGTTAGAACATGGCTCACAAAACAGCAGCTCAGCTTGGATTTGGGGTAATTATTGACAATTCAGACTTCCAGAAAACCCTGTTGATTCTCACACTCGCTCTTCCACCGCTCTCCTCTTTCCACTTATCTAAAAAAAGGAGAAAGCAATGCCTTTTTATTGAAAATGGTTTTGAGATAATTGGTTTATGAAGTTTTCTTACTACATTCATTGCTTGATGCTTTTGACTGAAAGAAGTATAAATACATATTGTGACTTATTATGCCAGTGTATATTGTGGAGCATAACCAGTTATGTACTATCTTCCCACAGTACCGAAAGAAAAATTAGGATACAGAAACTAAGCATCCATTTCGCTGGCCTATGATACTTGATTTACAATTCAAAAACTATGTAGTAAAGTTTGCATAATGATTCTAGAGCTCCACAGAAGTTATAGCTGCCATTTTTAAAAATGCACTTGGTTGGTTGCTAGCCATGTTTTCCTTTCCTGACTGAACATAACCATCCATAGGAGAAGTCCTCACCCAGAGGCCCTCATGGTGTAAGGTGCTGTGTATAGGTGGCTGCTTTAGCCCCACACCTCATCCTTTGGGCTCTGCTGGGTAAGTGCTTGGGCAAAGGCATCTGCCCAGGCTTGTGGGGTCATGGTTCAGCAAACTCTATTTTGCTCTTGGTCTGTGCAGAATATTGCCATTAAAATGTATCTGTCCAGGAAATTGCGCAAGGTTATTTGTCAACCTGCATTACTGGGAAGCGGTAATTAATTCTTGAAGCTGGAATATTTCTCTTCTAAGGTATTTGGCTCTTTCCCCGTTACTAAAAACATCCTCTTCTCAGGTTTCAAATGGTCGTTGTAAACATTTCATAGTAATTCCCCCCCCACCCCGTTGGGATGGTAATCCAATATCAGCAAATATTGTTTCTGGGAGCAGCTCTGAGAAGAGGGGACTAAACTCTCCCCCGGCTGGGGCAGTGAGGTGAATTACAAACTCCGGTCCTGCAGCTGATACTTCCTTCCCCTCCTGCAAACAAATCCCAGCGCAGGCAAAGCGATGTGCTGCTTGTCTGGGGCTCACAGCCCTGATACCCTCCAGGAGCCTTCAAGAACATGGTTTGATCCGAACCATGCTCAGCAAGCAGACTTCCCACTGATACCATTTCTTTCGATATTAAAAAGTCGAAGGTCTCTTTAGCCCTAGGAGACAGAACTGGCAGAAGCCCGAGGAGTGCAGAGATCACGGAGAAACCACAGCGACAGCAGCGTGCTGTTGGCAGCCCCATAGGATCTAAAGCAGCTAAGGAGGTGTTGCCTACCAGTA